GAGGGGAATACTTAATCCTGTTAATCCTGTTGGACTGACACTAATCATGTTGACATATTTACTGGATGCTTTGAAAGAGATTATGGTGTCACTATAAACGAGCTTGTGTTGGGGCTAATCCTTAATGCACTATAGACGAGCTTGTATGGGGGCTAATCCTTAATGCACTATAGACGAGCTTGTATGGGGGCTAATCCTTAATGAGTCTTAATTGAGGTAATTGTCGAATGTTATTCTAATATACCCTGGTAGGTGATGACAGATATACTTAAATAAAATAGTTCAAGGTAATCTATAAGACTATGTGGACATATCCTTTGTCTGGGAGATGGGATCTTGATACCTTAGGCTAGCATTTATCTAAAAGCTTCAAATCAATTAAACTATGTAGACGTAACTCTTGTTTTATTGAATAGTATGTCTAGGAGATGCGCTCCCATTTCCTTAGGCTAGCATCTGTCATAAAAAGCTATAGACTGAAACTACTGAAACAAACCAAATTCTTAGGACTTATTTTCGATGAACATCTCACCTGGGATGCTCACATCCAAAACCTAACAACTAAATGCAGTAAAGACCTAAACACCCTAAGATGCCTAACTGGCTCTAACTGGGGAGCATCCAAAGATACCCCTCTCTCTCAATACATATCACTAATTAGATCAAAACTAGACTACGGCTGCGCCATATACAACACCCTAAACAACTCTCTATCTAAAAAACTTGACTCAATACAATATCAGGCACTCAAACTAATTACACGCACCCAACATGGCACCTCCTACACCTCACTTCAGGCCTTAACAGGAGAAATGCCACTAAGTCTACGCAGGGAACAGCTAAGCTTAAATTTCTGGGCCGCGTCCCAATCAAACCCTCTCATCGAAAACTTAATAAACCAAAACATCAGCCCCCAAAACCAAGCTCTAGCTTGTAAACACCCCTTACTTACCCCAATATCCCAAAGAATAACAAACTACCTAAATGAACACCAAATTAAAAATCTTAAACAAAACTGCAAACAATCAAATATCTTCACCCCTAAACTTAAAATACCCAAAATAGACACAACACTAGCTAGCCAAATAAATAAACAAACCGACCCAAACATAGCTAAAACTACCACACTAGCATAAAATTGGCCAAATTGGTGTCACATTTACACGGACGGATCCTCAGATCCGACCTCCAAACACACAGGTTTCAGAGTCCATACCACACAACCAACTAAAACCACACAATCCTTCCGACTCCCAAACAACCAATCAATATTCACGGCAGAACTAATGGGCATGGCCTCAGCCCTCCATAATCAAGAATCCAAAAACCACCAAAAAAATCCTAATACTTACCGACTCGCTCAGTGGACTGCAAACCCTCCAAAACAAAAATACCAAAAAACGACCTAAATTAATAAATCAAATACTTAAAAGCTCCAACGACCTAACTAAGGCAGGCAAACAAATAACCTTCTTGTGGATACCCGCCCACGTAGGAATATACGGTAATGAAAACGCCGATAAAGCAGCTAAACTATCCCTCAAAATCCCAGAAATAAGCTTAAACTTACCCATCTCAAAATCAGAAATTAAAAGTGTAAACAAGCAAAAAATCACCAAAAAATGGCATAACCTATATCTAAACTCAAATAGCCAAATCAAAAAAGTGCTCAGCAAACCACTAACCAAACCAAAAATTCTCCATCCATCCAAAAAAATCGACAGAGTAATCACTAAACTCCAAACAGGACACACCAACCTAAATAACCACCTAAAAAAATTTAAAAAACACACTACAGGTAACTGCCCACACTGCAAACAACCAGAAACCCCAGAACACGCACTCATCCACTGCACACACTACCTAACACATCGAACCGCATTACAAACCACCCTCAATCTAAACAAGGCTCTAACTCTAGAAGCAATACTAAACCCACAAAATAAACTAGAAAACTTCAAGGCCTTAGGCGTATTCTTAATCAAAACGGAACTAATAAAACGCATCTAAAAACACAATAACTCACCAAATCAAAATCACATAAACAAACAAACATCCACCATACCCAGCTCCCTTAGTTCTCCTCCCCAATCCCATCGGCATCTATTCCAAATCTCAAAATTCCCAAATTCTATATAAGCAACCCCTAAAACCCCCCTCTTGGGTTGCACAGACCACCTTCGCCCCTTTCGGAAACACATTAAATGGCCTGGCCGGGCCCGTGTGCGAAATACGCATCAGTCGGAAAGCGCACGTTAAATCTCCAAAGTAAGTAAGTAAGTACTACTGATATGCCACTAAGTCTACGTAGGGAACAATTAACCCTAAATTTCTGGGCCGCGTCTCAATCCAACCCCCTAATTCAAAGCCTAATAAACAAAAAATCATGAACATGACACACTTGTGACAGGCTCATTGACGGGGAGAGAACACCATCATGAAGGGTAGTTGGGGAAAAAAAACAACACAATCACAACCAAATACTCACATGAATTGTGCCCAGTAACAAAATATACTAATATAGTATAAACAAAATACTGAAAATAATGAGTGAGTGAGATGTGTTTAACTCCGCTTTTAACAGTATTCCAGTAATATCGCGGTGTGTCAGCTTAATGTGGGAGGAAAGCCCGAAGTGATGCAGGTCTTAGGCCATTACCACTTTGTTGAAACCCATGAACACCGGATTGGTGCTGACAAACCTAGAAACATAATCGGGGCAAACCGGGATTTGAACCCACAATCATAGGTTTCTGGCATGCCCAAGGGACGCAAGTCTGCATAGCGAATTGCGGCGCTTAGACGACTGGGCCACCCGTGACCCCTACTATAAATAAAGCAGCGTATGTTTGTTTTCTGTATGGACGTGTTGATTCTAGCACACACAGGAAAAAAGTGAAGGTTTTCCCGCCTTGCGTGGGCAAAAGCTGTGAGCTTTTAGTGCTATTTTCGGGACAACTATTGTTGTATAGTTGACAGTGAAGAGGACCCCAGTTGAAAATCTGAAAGTTTTAGTATGGTGTGACTACAGTAAAAATACAGGATTTATGACAATTATGTAATAGAGGTAGAGGATTCGTAAGAATTATTAATATTATGACATTTATAGCCTTATTCTAATATCCCCTGGGTTATGTATTTTAATTAACTCCATAAGTCCCATGTCCAGAGCAATGTCATTGTTGTCCATTGCTCCATAGCTCCGGGCGAAATGATGCTCACAGGAATTGCCTCTGATAGGAAACGCCCTGATGTTGAACGCGAGATCTGCTCACCTCATGCATGTTTGAGCTGGAAACCTTCTGTTTGTGTTGTCAGAGCAGGTATTCCGCAGGTATGTTGTGTATTAAACGTTCCAAGACAGTGATGCAGACTGTCCTTGATACCCCCAAGGGCTAATTCCCCGTAAAACGTATAGACAAGTAAAGGTTCTAGCTCAGCCTTACCTAGTCACACTTCACTGTATCTAAGGTTTAAAAATAAATGAATTGGTTCTCAGGCAATGGCTTTTGAATATATAGTGCAGGTGGGCTTTGATAATGACAATGAGCTTTGATTCTATTTCACAACGTGTAAAGATTAAGTGAGAACACACATTGGACGGAGCATGTCAACAAATCCGTACTGAGGTACGCAAGTTACTCCTATTTTTAACACTATCTGGCAATGAAGTTGTTCATTGTGCATCTGGACTTACGTTGTAATCCATTATATCACTTTTATCCAAGATTTCATTGAATTTTGTTAACATTAATTTCGGCAAATGTATGATCTGATCGGCAAATCACATCAACTCACCGTGGACATGCCTTGAAACGAACAATAGTCGTTAGAGATACAAAGTCTTCGGTCTTCCTATCAATATTCATTTCAGTTATGATACTGGGCATGACAAGTGTTTTTTAAACTAAATTACCCATAGATCGGGCAGAAAATGTGTAAACAGCTGCTCGCTATTTACAAATACACATGTAATCTTATTCTCTGCCCATGAAACATTGTCTGCCATACAGTACATAAATACTATTGAATTTGTAAATCATCATATCTAGAGATGTTTTATAAAAGAATTAGTGTTTTCATTGACCAAATTTGTAAAAGGCAAAACAAGCACACAACTATGGCCGCCATGAACATAACATATAACATGAGATGCTCAGTGCATCAGTGTGCATGTAAAGGGAAGTAACTGCACGCTATATTGGATCATGTTGTTTTTAAGTATAAAAGTGAGTGAGTGGGAGAGTGAGTATGGTTTTACGCCGCTTTTAGCAATACTCCATCAATATCACGGCGGGGGACTCGAACCCGGGTCTTTGGCATGACGAGCTAACGCTTTAACCACTTGGCTTTAAGTATAATAGCATTTCACTGCCGGGATCACATGAGTTAAAGACACAGAATAGTTTAGAATTTATTTTTTTTCAAAATGGAAATAAAAACAGCTCAGAACCAAGGATTATTTTTTGCCTAAGTAACCTGATCCCATTATTATAACCTGACATCTAACAAGGAGACCCCAAGCCCCAACCTATATCAATATCTAATTAATATTAACTAAATAATGTGTCACCTTGACAGTTGGATAAAAAAATGAAACATGCTATAGTATATATGTTATTCTGCATATCACAAACTTGCTGCATGTCAAATTTCATTATGATACATGCAGAAAAGCTTAGTAATGCACAAATGACATTTTCAATAGGGCTCTCATAGCCATGTGTTAAACTTGGCTTGAATTCTGTGAGCAGACTTTGGAGTCACCATAGCTGAGATAATTCATGTAATGTTTCAGCTTTTATAAGTGGAGTGGTTTTGGAGAAGAAATGTTTACAAAGGATGACAGACCAACAGCCTACAAGATAAGCTCTCTTGACTTTCAGTCATTTGAGGAAATATGGTGAACAGGAATCAACTAATTTTTATTTATCTAATACATGTTGTAAGTTATGGAATTATGCTGTGGATGGTTTACTTGCAATACATGCAATACATACTTGAGAAGGGCCCTTCTTGCCATTGTTACAGCATAGCTGTCAATGAGGCACCGGCCATCGGTCGTCAGGTTACTGGATGACAGACAGGTATTACCAACACCGATGGCTACCACTTCCCCTACGTCTGTTGCACCTGAGATAACAACATAGATAAACAGCATTTAGAATCATTGTGTACATTGGTATGTTCACATCTATTTGATTGGATAATGATAGAACCAAAGGATTATTTCTAAATAGTCATGGTGTTACATCCATGTTCACATATTTAGACAATAAAAGCAGATGTTTTCAGCAATAAGTAAAGGTGTTATGAAGTGTAGCTCCAAAGATCCAAACCAAGTGGTTTGTTCCATGAAGGTGGACATATTGCAATCAGAGTAAAAAGAAATTTTGTGATGTTACAAATCTTAAATCCTCAGTTCAACGTAATCAAGTAATTCAAAACAATGATATCAATGTAACAAGTAAATAACTGATTACTTCTTTGATGTTTGTTTTCTGCCACAGTCAGCAGTATGCCTGCTTTAGTTATTGACTCCTTGATTTTGCATGTATGGGATGTTAAGGAGATGGGGTAATATGAGAGGCTCAGTGGAGGGTTTCCCTGGTTTAAGGGCCCATAGCTGCTTTCCATGATTGGGGGATGGTGCCAGAAATATTCCTCAATGATCTAACCAGTGATGCTAATGAACCACTGACAGTCTTTGCCAATCACACCTTCGAGACACAGAAGATATTGATGGGATTTACCAATTCAGACTCTTAGTGGTCGCTCAACAATTGACAGTACCTAATGGAAGATGACCAAAATCAAAATCATCCAAATCATGCAGACTCGTAAGTAGACGTCAGGTTACCGATTCATAACCACCGACCGAGAGTCCATGCTCCCCTGTCTTACTGAGGTTGTTTGATTTTTTGTTTTTCAACGCACTACTCCGTAACATTCCAGCCATATGATGGTGGTCTGTACATAATCGAGTCTGGACCAGACAATCCAGTGATTGATATCATGAGCATCGATCCACGCAATTGGGATACAATGCCCTTGGGATTCTCTGCACACATACAAAATTGGGGCTAACTGAACAGATCACAATCTGAATCTGGGGATTTCCACCACCATCTGTGGGATTCAAGCAATCAGGAAGGATAATGTAAAAGGTGCATTTGTTATGGTAAAAATATCATTTATACTTATCCTGACTCATACATTATAGCACCAAAAAAGCCTCCTCGCTTCCTATGATATGCGTTCTAAAGCCGTAATTAAGGGTATGCAAAATGTGAGAGTGACGAGTGTACGGGCTTGGTCACATGCTTCTGGTGTGGCTGCATGGCTGAGGGGTGCGTTGGTGTGAGATGTTTGTCTCTGTTCTTGGAGACACAACACAGAAGTTTCAAATACCTTTTCAGAATGAGATGAGATAAGCCATAAGTATGAGTTAGGATAAGTATAAATGATATTTTTACCCTAAAAACTATAACTCTATAACAACTGTATTTCCTTGTGCAACAAAACACAGCTGTGTAGAGAAGGGATGACTATTGGTCTGGAAATCACTAATGCGATAACCATTAATATTGAAAGAAACTACTGAGATTACAATTGCAAGCAACTATTGCGATAAATATCGATAGTTTTCAGTTCATCATTTCAGATGGATTTTCGTGCTGAATTGAACCTTGGAACTGAAGTTTCCGTTGAAGGTGATAACCATAACAGCAAATAAAAAGTAAAGTGTGAGATATGAATAAATTGTTTTTTCTTTACCCAAATAATTTAAGAAAAAGAAACTACCACATTGCCATGTGTAAATGACCACCACTCATGATCAAAAGAAAAACAAATTTGAACAGCATTGCATGTATTTTATTGAAACTGTAAAACTATGGTAAATACAATCGAAACTATCGATATTCCAAGCTGAAATCGATACTATTGTTCAGAATCTTATTTAGGAATCGATTTATTGACTTTAAGTGCTTACCATTAGCAATATACCGATATTTCGATATATCGTGACACCCCTAGTGTAGAGCGGGCTGCGCATAATAAACGTGTACAATGAATTTTGATGCTTTTCCCTCAATGCAAAGAGCATTGTAAGCATGTAACACCAGAAATAACATGTCGACAAATACAAATCCGCATTGAAGAATGCAAATTAACACTGTTGTCATGCTATCTTTATAAAGGTGTTCATTGTATATCTGGACTTCTGTTTGTAATCCATTTTATTCAAAATTATACTCAAAATTTCCTTCAATACTGTTCATAAGAAATCATGTGTGCACTGATTGGCAGATCACACCAACTGATTATCTACAGTAACCACGGTCAGATTATCACATTTGACAGCTTGAAACGAACCTCAGTTGTCAGACAATGGAAACATCATTTTATGCCATACTTTGACTTGTTGTGTATAGTTTTCTCGATCGAAATAGCAAGACCACAGGAAGCCTATCAAACTAAACATTGACTTGTTAAATTGTTGTGGCGACATATACCAAAGCGCTGCGCTTATAGGAATTATTAATTTAAATATACATTGCAACAGCTGCAACTAAAATAACATGACATTGGAATATATTATTTACTGGCAAAATAATAGCTAAGATACAATTTCTTCTGATCATTGCCACAAAATTCTGAAAATGGGTGTACAGCTTATTGCTATTTCCAGCTAAGTTTACAAGACAAACAGTAGTATAGGTAATGGTGATTCTGCTGCAACCCCACTAGAGCCAGATTTATATACCTATACTGCTACTACAGATGGACGTTTTCATGCAAAAATGACGATGCGATTCAACGATCGTCATGAGATTAAACTAAATTGTAATGAAAATATTCTCTATTATTTTTACTCATACGCATACCATTATTTTGCACAAAGTGATATTCAACATTTTTACTAAGTTCTTCGTTCATTTTACTAGGAGACCAGACTATGTACTCTTTTTCGAAATTGGAAAGAAACAATTGATGACCGTATTTGGTTGGTTTGACATCACTGATATAATATATACCCTGTGGTAATTCTCGCCATTTGATTGGCTCCATTATTATATACTTATGTAAGTATTCGTCTAAATTATTGTGGTGTGATCCAACGTGATCAAGCAATCTATTTTTAATCTCCAACCAGTTCCTAGGTTTTGGCACGGAATAATTGACGCGCTTGTTGTCTCCCCTGTGCTATGAACTTTTTTTTCTTGTCTTCGCTAATACCACTGGTCTTACGATATTTGGATCGAATCTCCTGCTTCATTACGTTGTATTTGGTGAGTTCTGATAGCACTAAACGAAACTCATCCTCGGATATCTTACAATCAGCCATTGCTGTTGAAATATGATCCTTAATGCTGTTCAACATTGTTTCGGCGAGTATCCGAATATTATCATGTTTTAGTGCTTTCTTTTGCAACTTACGAGAAATAAATTTTATCGCTATTCCTGCCAGTCCTGAGACTCCAGCGGGTATTTCAATGCCAAGTATGATAGGCGCGGCGATTATAGTTGATAATAAACCAACACCAGCTACACTGAGTCCCATGCCAGCTGTTACAAGCGCAGTGTCAACTCCGTCGAGAGCATTCACAGCTCTGGGATACTTTTTATACAATCCAAGTCTCAACTCCCTCTCCTTCTCTATTCGATGTTTTATGTCGCTTATTTGATGTAATCGAAATGAATCAACAGTATCCATCTTTTCAGACGCTTCATCGAGCGCCAGATATAAACCCATAGTGTATATTATTATATCATATAATAGTCTTTAATTGGTCTTGCTTCAATGTTTTGAGAGTATACATCAATCTTATTAAATGCATATTATACGTCATAAATATCTTAGTAAGAGAAATGCTGTCACCTTTAATAATTTGGACCCCCTCAAAGGTTGCAACGGGTGATGCACCTACACAAATAATACTACAACGTCGACGCTCATGTTGCTTGAGCCATTTAATTGATAGACCTGGTAATATCTCAAAGGCATCTTCTGATGCATCCCCAAGCTAGACTTCAATAATAAGCGTAGAAGGATTATGTACTGCACTCAAGTTCTCTTTAATATTATTGAATTCAGTAACCAAATTTAAACTAACATTTTTTTATGCCAGACAACTCAATAACATATGACCTGGGTTTTCTGGCAGCGGAGTGACTAACACACTTTTTCGTTTTGATGGGATATAAGCTGCGAGTACGATCCCACTATTTATTATCTTAGTTAAATTATGTGCCTTTCCCATCATCACATATGGTGGGGTAATGACGATATTCAATAGCCACTCGATCTTTTCTTTCGACCATAGTCCATTTATTATCATCGTTGCGAGTAAGATTGTATGAAGTGTTTTTATGGAGTCTACTAACGTCGACATCACTTAAATCTCCTAGATTAACTGGGAATGTAACTTCTTTCCGCTTGTATACATTATCTTGTAAGTGTAAAGCGTATAACTTGTCATCGGTACCAGGTTTACCGAATCCTTCTGTGTCTCCGAGATCGGAAAGCGCAATTGTATTACATTGTCTAAGGTTATGCGATCCAGGGCCTAATGAATCAACCATTATTTATAACATGGAGCGTTACACTCAAGTATCCTATATATACAGGTTGGTGTTTTACATCTAATACAGAAATTTTGAGGTCTGAAATAATACACCGCTTTAACTTTTTATATTGTAATGATGAAAAAGATTCCGTTCTACCGCTATTGTATTTTTCATCTTTGACTGGAATAGCTCTAAGCATAGTTGAAGGACTTTTGAGTTAAATATTATCCATCGTACTTATCTGATCAAGATGGATGCACAACTCTCTATAGGGAACTAAATCGGGTAATTTAACTCCATGCCGTGTTTTGTTGGGTTGTATTAATGTCGTTCTTCCTCCTAAGTCGTTTTCAAGTCCAAGTGTATCTGATATGTTCAGGGCAAGTAATATTTATAGAATAACCCACGAGGTACGAGTGATTACGGAAAATATGTCACGAGTGAAATTAATGTTTTAAGTTCCAAGCTTTAGCGAGGAACTTAAAACATTAATTTCACGAGTGACATATTTTCCGTAATCACTCGTACCTCATGGTTATTCTATTTATTACCCATATTCA